AGCCTGCCCGCCCTCTCAGCCCCGTGTCCTATGTATTCTGGTGCTGCCCTAGTAAGTGTCTTCACTCCCCCCCCCCCCCCCGCTTCCCCTGCAGGTGGTATGGACAGGACAACACGTGTGAGGAGTACCACACAGTGGGACCTCACTCCTGTCACATCCCCAAGGACCTGGCCCTCTTTACCCCCTACGAGATCTGGGTGGAAGCCACCAACAGGCTGGGCTCGGCCCGCTCAGATGTGCTCACACTGGACATCCTGGATGTGGGTGAGACACCCCCCAGGGGTGGACCCTGTCCCCTACCAAGCCCAGCCTCGGCTGCATCTCTGGTCCAACACTGATGGTTGGGGCGGGGAGTGCTCATCGACCCCTAGTCCTCTGAATCAGCCAGGATAGCTCCACTCTGAGGAGGATGCCTGGTCTGGCCCCCTTCTCCAAAGCCCAGGTGTGCCGGAGGGCCCCCACCCCTCAGCTGGGAGGGGGCGCCCAGGTCTGAGGCACCCCAGGAAGCCACAGCCTGGAGCTGGGGGTGGGGGGGTGTTCCAGGCTGGAGGCAGGAAATGGATGATCTGCAGCAGAATTGGGCCTAATCTAATTAGGGTGTTTCTCAGCCCTGAGCAGGCCTGCGCCTTAACCCTTTCAGCCCCTCACCAAGGCCTCAGGGGGAGAGCCAGCTCTCCCTCCTTCCCACAGGACTCCCAGAAGGATCCCAGATCCCTCCTGGCTTGGAGCCACCCCTACCCCAGCCTGCTTCCCGCTTCGCTTCCTGAAGTCTTGAGGCTGCGGTGGGCATGTTCTCAGCTTCAGTTGTCCCTCTGCACCCAGCAAGGCCGTCATAATGACGACCTTTGTAAGGTGGGGAGGAGCTGGAGATGAGGGGTGATGGTCCCCTGGCCTCCTGGGAATAATAACAATCATATTATAGGCCAGGCAGTGTCTGCTTTTACAGAATTCCCTGAAGATAGGATTATGTTGCTCCTGTCACTGATAATAATGGTGATAACAGCTAACATTAATTGAGTGCTTCTAGGCGCTGAGTGTTTCCCGAATATTGTCTAATGTAATCCACCCGTCCTCGAGGGGGGTGGAGCGGGGGGAACGGAAGCAGGTGCCACCTAAGCCACGTGCTCTGGGATTTGAACTCAGATAGGGGCCAGCCAGGTCAGAGGAGACTGTGACTAAGCCCCGCCCCACCCCACCCCCGCCCCGCAGTGACCACCGATCCCCCGCCCGACGTGCACGTGAGCCGAGTTGGGGGCCTGGAGGACCAGCTGAGCGTTCGCTGGGTTTCCCCGCCCGCCCTCAAGGACTTCCTCTTCCAAGCCAAGTACCAGATCCGCTACCGCGTGGAGGACAGTGTGGATTGGAAGGTGTCCATCCCCCGTCCCCCACCCTGCCCTGGCCGGGCCGGGCCCTCCCTGACCTCTGACCATGCCCTTGCTGCCCAGGTGGTGGACGATGTGAGCAACCAGACCTCGTGCCGCCTGGCGGGCTTGAAGCCAGGCACCGTGTACTTCGTTCAGGTGCGCTGCAACCCCTTTGGCATCTATGGCTCCAAAAAGGCAGGGATCTGGAGCGAGTGGAGCCACCCCACAGCTGCCTCCACGCCCCGCAGTGGTGAGCACCCCAACAGGGCTGGGGGGTTACAGGACCGGTCCTAAATCAGCCTGGGCTTCTGTTTTCTTGTTCGTTTGGTTTTTTCTTCCAGGAGAACAGAGGTCTCAAACTGATGGCCCCGGGGTCAAATTTTGACCCTTGAATCTATTCTCTTCGATACATCATTTGAAAAACAAACAAACAAACAAACAACCTATGACTTGCAGACATTTACAAACAGGAAGTTATAACACAAATGTCCTAGATGCCCTAGAAAAATTATCTGGAAGATGTAACAGGACACACAGCCAGAGTTGCCCCACGACCCCTATCAGCAAAGGCTGCTCCTGTATGCCTGGTCCTCTCTCTCCGGGTGCCTCATCCCCAGCTGGCCCGGTTCACCCACCTGTACCTCCTCCCCAGCCCCCAAGGGCAAGTGAGTTTGAGACCCCTGCTTTCAAGGCTGATGGGCTGCCAACTGTCCCTCTGATGGGCCTCAGTTTTCCCTTCTGATCCAGGTAGGGGGATAAGGACAGTCAGGGGCCTGGGTCTGGCTCCTCTTGCCCCCTGGGGTTCCTCTTAGCCCGTTGACCTCCATTGTCTCCTTTGTGAAATGATATGAAATCCATTACTTGAAATGTCTGGCTTCAGCTTACCCATCTGGAAAGTGGGGATGATAATGATTCCTGTCTCAGGCTGTCATGCAGGTGAGATGCAGTGCAATAACCCTCATAGTGAGCGCCACCTAAGCCTCCCTTCCCCTTCTCCTCCCGCGGTTTCACCAAAAGGTTGGTCCCCTTTTCTCAGGTGAGGACGCTTTGGCCTCAGGAGGTTTAGCCAGCCCCCAAGGTCATACCCGGATCTGAACTCAATTTGCCAGAAGTCCAGGGCCATGCTCCCTCCTGAGACGATGGGGAAACCAAGGTCCAGAGAGGGTCTCAGAATCAGGGAGGGGCAGAGCCTAGCTCTAGCCAGCTCCCCAGCCCCCACTGTGGGGCCCTCCAGGTTCTGGGGTGGGCGGAGCTAGCATGACCGGGGAGGGGCTGAGCCTTGGCCCCTGCTCGTGCCCAGCACCTGCGATTCTTGCGCGGGAGCCAGCAGGCGGCTGCGTCTGCAGAGGAGGCTGGGGAGGCTGGGGGAGGCCAGCAGGGGCCTGGGCTGTGCCAGGGCCTGTCAGCGGGTCCCCTGTGTTATTTATGACGTGAGGCCGATGTCCTTATCCGCCGGCCTGTTCGGGGCTGGCTGAGTCCAGCAGCTGTACCGGCAGGCGGGCCTCCTGTCTGGCCCTCCCACCAGCTCCCCATCCCATTGGCTCATGCTCCCAGGGGCTGTCTCCTTTCGAATTTCTGTCCTCTCTTCCCTCTGTCTCTTTCTGCCTTTCTTGGTTTCGGTGTCCCTACGTCCCTAGGCTCTCTGTCCCTCTACTTTCTCCATACCTCGTCCTCCCTCTCAATTCCTTGGCCGACCCGCATGACTTTGGCTTTCCCTGCACCTCTTGTCTTTCTGTCCCCAACTCTCAGTCTCTGCCTCTGTTTCTCTCTCCCTTTCTCTGCCCCCTGCTCTGTCTCTGCGTCCCATCTCTCAGGCCTTGACCTCTCATCTTCTCTCCCAACTCCCTCCACTCACACCTGGCTCAGGCCACAGGAATCGGGTTCCTGGAGATGTGGAGGAGGAGCCCCTTCCTCTCCCAACCCCACACCTCCTCAGGGGCGCAGCTGGGCTGCTGGGCTGGGCGGTAGGGAGGACCCTGTCTGGTCTCCTGGAAATGGGGGGCGGTCCCCGAGGGGAACGCACTCCGCCGTACGGGGACCCTCCCTCCGTTGCCCGCGCGCGCCCTCTGTCGGGCTCGTCCTGACGCTGCCGCTCCGCCCTCATCAGAGCGTCCGGGCCCGGGCGGCGGGGCGTGCGAGCCGCGGGGCGGAGAGCCGAGCTCGGGGCCGGTGCGGCGCGAGCTCAAGCAGTTCCTGGGCTGGCTCAAGAAGCACGCGTACTGCTCGAACCTCAGTTTCCGCCTCTACGACCAATGGCGAGCTTGGATGCAGAAGTCGCACAAGACGCGAAACCAGGTAGGAAGGAGGGACCCGTGGGCGAAGGATGAGGGGTGGAGTGGGGAGGTAGGTTCGCAGTCCCCAGACACCACCTCCTTCCTTCCAAGCACAGGACGAGGGGATCCTGCCCTCGGGCAGACGCAGCGCGGCGAGAGGTAAGGGGGGCCCAGGTGGGTGGGCGATAGGAAGACAAGGACCCTTCCTGGTGGCCAGTAGGCCGTGGGCCTTCGTTTTATTTATCAGCATTTACTGAGCACCAACTGTGTGCCTGGCCCTGTGGCTTTTAGCCTAGTAAGAGCACCCAACTTCTTGAAAATGTGCAAAGTGGAACGCCATCCTCAGGAATAAATGAACATATTGGTCCAAGTTAGCATGTTTGAGCACCTACCGCATGTGGCCCTTTGCCAAAGGTTTTACCTGCAGTACACCCTGTGGGGATGCACAGATGTTGTTACTTCTCAGATGGGGAACCAAGGCTCAGGGAGAGGCAGTACCCTGCCCAAGGTCACTCATCTGAAAGTGGTGGGGCCAGGGCCTGAACTGGAGGGGGTTGGGGGCTCTTCAGTTGCTCTGCTGTGCTGGCTGTCCCAGGCTCTCTGCTTAGCCTGACTTCCCCTCTGCCTACAGGTCCTGCCAGATAAACTCTAAAGGCTGGAGCCGCTCTCCCTGCTTCATGGAGACCCAGGGCTGCACCCAGATTGAGGCCACCTCTGAACCCTCACCTCATGGTGCCTGAACACCTGTTGCAGGAGCTGGAGTGGGCACCGAGCTCCAGGGATCACATCTCTGTCCTCCATGCGAGGCCACCCTTGGGTCCACCCGTTGGTGTGGGGGGTGAGCATTGGTCAAGCTGCCCAGAACCCCTGACAGGGCTGAGGGTGAGGAGGAGTCATTACTTCCCTCACCCACGACCCCACCAAAGAATCTTTTTAAATAAATGAGCTACTTAGGTGCCCTGATTGTTAAGATGAGTTTGGGGCTGCAGAGGCCTGGGGTGGGAACCGTAGAGCAGACATGACACTTTGCGATTGAGATCCTCACCTCCAAGAATTTCAGACTTTTTCTCCTCAGGATTAGAACTGTGTTTCTAAGCTCCTTGGAGAGTGATCAGTCTGGGGGAAGGGAGTCTCCCACCCTCCGTCCCTGCCCTGTGGGGTCCCCTCACCGGTATATACTCCCTAGCACCCCAGGATGCAGAGACAGCAGAACAGCCGCAGATGAAGGGGTTCATTATTTGTGTGAGGTGCGGTGACCTCGAGGAGGGTTAACAGCCCAGCAGGGCTCAACTCAGCCATCTAGGAGTCAAAGCTGGGTGCCCGACCCATTTCCCATCTTTGACCTTAGCTGGTCCCTGGGGAGTCAGCTAAGGTCAGCAGATTCTGCCTCAAACCTGAGGCCCTGGAGAACCTTGCTGATGGCTTCCATGCTTTTAATAACCCTGTAAGAGCTAATGGGAACTATAAATAAAACCCAGATGGGGCAAATTAGCCTACACTGTACAGCTCTGAGGGGGCTGTGGCAAGCCCTGGGCTGTCCTGCCCACCACTGAACCTCTAGGCAGCATTAGTGTCCAGGAGGGCCATTTGGGTGCCTGGGAATAGGGGTGGACCTGCAGGTCACAGTGGGCAGAGAGAAAAGACCATCTGGGATGAGTGTATCCTATCAAGAGGGTATACAGTGTTACTGTGGCGGATGAAGGGGTGTGCATGTGTGCGCGCTTGGGGTGGGCAGGGGCAGGGATGTGCAGGCATGTGCTCAGTGGGGCCTGGGTGACGGGTCCAAGCTCCAAGTCCAGCCATGTGAGCAGGATTGGTGTCTGAGATGTGCAGCTGTCCCAGGAAAGGATAGTGAGTCTGGTGTGGAAATGGAGTGTGCGCGCACTGGAGGAAATGCGCTGTATCTGGGAGCCACCAGGCGTGGACTCCAGTGTGTACACCCTTTGGGTTGTGTGCGGGCCCAGGGGGATCTGATGGTGCCAGCCCTCGGGCACACTTGTCTGGGAGTACATGCCTGGCCTATGTGCAAATACATCTAGCATGGCTGTTCACTGGGAGGAGGCACTCACGTCATTAGCTGACACAATTGTAGTGTGTTCTCTTGCCTTGTCAGCTCTAGTGCTCCCATCATTGGTTGCAGCAGGGCCACCTGGTGCAGTGGGGCGGGGCAGCAAGGAGGGTATCACAGCAGGCAAAGACTACCCCCAGCTCTCCCACAGACGTTATCAGGGAAGAGATGCCAGAAAGGCAGTGAAGGGGTGGGGAGTAGCAAAAGGGGGTGCTTTGTGTGGGAGGAGCCTGGGATTCAGTTAAGAGGGACTCCTGAGGAGGGAGTAGAGTAGGCAAGCCCTAGTCAGTGCAGAGCTCCTTGTGGGCAGCACGTAGGCGTGGCATAGGACTAGCAAGTCAACCAGGTATTGGTTGCAGGGGCAGAGTAGTTGAAGGCTTATGGTCTTGGGGGTGAGACAGGGTGCTATAATTCCCAGGGTGGAAGTAGGCCAAAAACCTAGACTGGGACCAGGATCTCCTAAGTGGGTGGCCATGGAATCCCAAGTAGAGTGTGATATGGGTGTGGCTTTGCATGAACTTAGTCTGGGAATAGTGTATTTCAGCCAGGATTGGCTGTAGAGGCATAGTATGGTCTTGGAACCCTAGAGCAAGAGTAGGCCCAGAACTTAGGCTAGGGTCTAGGTTACTCTGAGGGGGAAAGCCTGAAAACCCACCTGGGAAGTTGAGGACTGGATCTGAGGCATTAAGAGCCCAAAGGGAGGAGCTTTGTCATTCAGGCAGGTCATCCAGGACAGCATTAATGAAACCCGGGAGACAGGTGGAGACCAGGAGGCCAGAGACTCTCAAGTTAAGCCTTAGTGAGATTGAGGTGGGGCAGGAAGGGCTGGGATCCGGTGCTCTGGGGTTGGGGTTTTAGTGGACTGGAATCTTCTGGCCCCTTGCCCAACAAGCACAGAGCAGGCCCAGCATTCCACCGCGGGAGACTAGGCTTCAGAGTAGGGGGCAGCGGCCAGTGGTCAGGGTCTGCTCCAGCAGCCATAGGCTGCGCACATGGCACATGAGCAGCAGCTGTGCTCTGGGGTTGGCCAACTTGGCCTCTATCGCTAGCACCTCCTGCAAGGTGGAGGCGGCTTGGGTCACCTTGTGCAGTGTGGCCTGGTAGTACAGGAAGTCTTATGTCGGGACACTACACAGGTACTGGCTGTGGCCTCTGAGGCTATGACCCCAGGCTCTCAGACCCTGCACCAGCATCAGCCACCTGAAAGCCACCCCAATAAAATGTCTAGACCCAATTGTGGAGAATGCTGATACCTGCAGAGAAACTAAACAGGCCCAATGCTGTGCTTGGGGTAGACCCACCCTGCGGACTGCATGGGGACTTACCTTAGGCCCCCTAGCAAACGCTGCCCCCTCTTCTGTCAAAGCAGCTGCCCTGGGACCCAGCTCCGCCCCTAGGCATGCCCACCTCCGGAGCAATGGGGGCCGAATCAGTACAGGCAGGTACTCCTACAGCCAGCAGCAGGCCTTCATGGGCTCTACTCGGATTGGTGGATGCACTGCACCAGCACCCAGGTGTTGGGGGTGGGCATTATGTCAGAGCCCCTGAGCTTGAATCTCCCCCAACACGTATTTCTGTTCCACACAGGGCCAGGTCAGGTTCCTTGACCTTTGGGGCTCCTCTAGCTTCCCCAACTTCAGGTGTGATATGAATAGCAGGCCAACCTTGGTGATCGTGACTGTGCAACTCTGCCCACGCCCAGGAGGCTGCTCTGCTAGGTGGCCCCCACAGGCTTGGAAGTCTCCAGACCCCAGCCTGTGGCCCTCCAAACCCGAAACCTGGAGACGGGAGAATGGGGAGGGAAGACCAGGGACTATCCAGGAACCAACCCCTGCCTCCCCGCCAGCCCTTGCTTTCGCCCAGTGCCTTTAGTTTGTCATTTATGTCTCTGAGAATAGCAAGACTGTTCCTGTTTATAGGCTGCTATATGGTGACATCAACAACTTCCTGTCATACACAAAACATCCCCCACACAAGGAAAACCAGTCATACAATGCCACCAGGTTGTAACAAGAGTGGGATTTCAACTCAGACTGTGTGAAGACCTCAGAAATTATCTGAAGGGAGGACCCTGGGAACAGGGGTGAGGCACACTGGGCAGAGATGGCCTCTGAGCTTTCTGCTAAAGACTGATCACTTAGAACTCTGAGCAGCTTTCTTTTCCAGGAGTGGAAACTGGATCCCTTAAGATGGTGGTGGCCTGGCCTACAGAGAAGCAGTTGTAGTTTCACAGTGATGAAACCAAACAGATATGGAAACACTGAGATTCCAGTCTTTAACTGGCAATGCAAGTGTCAGCTAATCTTAGGCATTTTCCAGGCCTGGGTTGCAACCTACGTCAAGCCCCAATTGTCCCAAAAAAGCATGGTCTCAGGATGTCCAGTGGACAGCCCTCACCTAACTTGCCACAGCATGATATAAAGTCTTAAAATAAATAGGAGAGGAAAAAAAAAAGTCCTCTTCCAAAATCATTGTTCTCAGGTGGAAGCCATGTGCTTCTAGATTAAGAACTGAGAACAGGTGTTTTACACCAGGTAGGGACAGAGTAAATGACCCTATAGTGTGAAGACCCCTGGCCTGAGGTCTTCATTCCCATTACAGATGACAATTGAGATGGGTGGGCTCGCTAGGTTCCATGGAAGAGGGCCAGGACCACAACCTGTTTTACAGATGAGGGACCCAAAAGGACAGGACTGCCAAGGGCTCTGCAGAGTCAGTCTCTAAGGGAGATGCCCACACCTTGCAAATCTTCCCCACTGGACAGACCAGCCACATGGACACCAGTTACTGCTCCAGTCAATGAAAGGGAAACTTTATTGAGGCCCCAGGGTCACAGGGATTAGGCAGAAGACTGCCCTATAGGCCAGAGGAGGTGATGGAGGGGCCTTATTTAACCTTCTTCTTGGGGCGCAGGTTGTTGGTGTGGCCACACTTCTTCTTGCGGCAGTTGACAGCACGGGGGTGCAGGCGGGCATAACACCTGCACAGGGGCAGGAAGGGCTGACTGGTCAGGGTGCCTGACCACTCCCAACCAGGGCCAGCCTCCCCCAACCCCAGGCCTACATACTTGCGGCAGATCATCTTGTCACAGTTGTACTTCTGGGCGAGCTGGCGGAGGGAGGGCTCGATGATGCCACCACGCAGACGAAGCACCAAGTGCAGTGTGGACTCTACAAGAAATGAGGATTGGGGAGAGACACGAGACTCAGCCTGAGCCCAGGACTTGGTCCACAGGTACAGGGCAGAGCCCTCTAGTACCCTGGAGACCACAGCTTCTCAGGTCTGACAGGTACACGTCAGATTCCTTTAGGAGATGGCCACACCAGCCCTTGGGGAGTTTGAGGCTAGTAAATGCCAAAAGTGGTTGGCATTACCAGCTGGCTTCCCAACAGGTAAGGTGATTTCTAAGTGGTGTGAGGGTGACTCATTATTTTTTGCTAAACAAAATAAAGCTCGTCACTGCAAAGAGTGACACTGATTTTATAGTAGTTATCATATTTAAAGAAAAAAACAACAAACCTGTTTTAAGAAAGAAAGAAGGTGAATGATAACATGGGAAACCACTGACATTTGGAATTACAAGTAGCGATCATGAGATACTTTCCAGGGACAAAAACAGTATCTTGCTCAAGTCGCCCTATCCTCCTGTGATGCTCACCTTAAGGACAACCCCACTCTTGGTGCCAAGGAGGCTATCAGTGCCAAATCTTGGTCCACAGGTACAGGGCAGAGCCCTCCAGTGACCTGTAGACTAGAGCTTCTCAGGTCTGACAGGTACTCATCAGAATCCTTTGGGAGACGGCCACACCAGCCCTCAGGGAGTTTGAGGCTAATAAATGCCAACAGTGGTGACCAGCTGGCTTCCCAACAGGTAAGGGCCCCTTCCTGGGGCCCTGTCCAGTAAACACACACCAAATACCTTTCTGAATGTTGTAGTCTGAGAGAGTGCGGCCATCCTCCAGCTGTTTGCCCGCAAAAATCAGTCGCTGCTGGTCAGGCGGGATGCCTATGGATAGAGGCAAATTCAGTTACTGAGACTCTGGAAAGTTTTACTGGCAGCTCCTTCCCTCCCCCCACAGAACTTCATCATTAATCCTAACCTGTCAAAAGGGAAACCCTGATAGAAATGGCAAGATGTTTTCCTATAATTACACAGGGGAAGCACTGGCAAGGCCTCAGCACTCAGACTTAGCCCAACTTACCCTCCTTGTCTTGGATTTTAGCTTTGACATTCTCAATGGTGTCACTCGGCTCAACCTCAAGGGTGATGGTCTTGCCAGTCAGGGTCTTCACAAAGATCTGCATCTCTGCGTCTGCTGGGGAAGCTGGGACAAAGTAGTGAGTACTGCAGGATTGAACATCTTGAGCTTGGGCTGGCCAGCCTATGCCCTGACTGCCAGTCCTGGCCACAGTGACCCCAACTGCAGGCCCACCTCAGTGCCTGTTTCCTTCCATCCTTTCAAGTCTGCAGATGCAATCAAAAGTACATGTCCTGAGTACCATCTTGACAGACACATTTCCCCTGTGATCTGGAGGTTCCATCAATCCACCCTCCCTCCCTCATTCCCTCCCCTGCACCAGCCCCTGGCCACATGTGCTCCACAAAATACCCTTCCTGAAGCTTGGGTGGGAATCTTAGCAGCCACCTCTAGTCCCTCTTCTCTCCAACTCCAAGCTCATACTCACTTTGGCTTCCTTCTCAGTTACCCCCAAAATTCTCAGACCACGCCTCTTGCCTTTCCTCCAAACCATAATTATCTGCCAACCACGCGCCTTATACTTGTTTACACAGGCCATTCTTTTCTTTTTCAAAAAAATCCAAAAAGCCTACGAGACGGACACTACCAGCCTCTCCTTACAGATGAAGAAAAGGAGGCAGGTCGAGTCCCACTTCGGGAGATGGGAAGCGTGTGATACTTTTAAAGTAACTGGCAGTGTTTAACACGGAAAAAAACGTTTACATGCTTAATATCCCACCCCATTAACTGAGATCTGCCCAGGAGACCCATCCCCGCCCCGAGACCCCGTCAGCTAGCTGAGGCCGGTGGCGCGGGTAAAACACTCCCAAAAGCAGGTTCGCCCCTCGGGCCCCAGTCGGGGGCCTAGAACGCAGGCCCTACGCCCTGCTTAGCCGACCCGCCGAGCCCGACCCCCACAAACCGACCTCAGCCGCCCCCTCCGCTGTCCCCGGGTCCCCCGTTGCCTCCCGCTTGACCCAGGCCCAAAGCGAACCCGCACGGACGCCACAACCAACGCACTCCGCCGCCTCGTTGAGAAGAAAGAGGGCGGCGGAACCGGAAACCGCCAAATCGCCGCCGAGAGCGCCTGCGCACCGAGCACGCTGCACGCATGCGTCACAATTCGCGCTGCGCGTCATGCCCCGCCCCGCCGCCATGTTGCGTGCTGGCGAACGAAGCCGCGGCATCTGTGGGCGAGCGTCTCCCCCCTGCGGCTGACTGTGGGCTTCCGCCCCGGGTCGAGTGAGAAGAATGCCACAACTCACCAGGTGTTTCCACCCGCTGTCTCAGGGTCGGCTCGTGGAGGGCGCTCGAGTACTTAGTGGGTATACCAGGCCCTTGTGTGCTAAGTCGAAGGCATTAAACAGAGGGTCTACAGGTTCAGGAAGAGGGGGTGTAACAGAGAAGGTAGGAAGAGGCGCGGGACCCGTGGGAGCCACCTAAGCACCTAACACCCAGAGTCAGTTCTAAAATTTTCTGGCGGCTATGCGCTGATCTGGGGCGGCGCGTAGGGGAGCAGGGAGAGCAGGTGGGGCTGGTGCATTCACTCAAAATGGGGTGGGACCCAGGAGACTCGTGGAAGGCTAAAAAAAGTGGCAGGCGCGTGAAAACAGGTGAGGACCAAGAAGTTACTTGTGGGTTTAGCAGCATACCTCTTTATATCCTGTTGCTCCTGTGGACCAGGCAAAAGCAGACTCTCAAGTGTGAGAAGATGCCTTTAATTAACATTTTTTGAGTGCTTCAAAGATGAAGGGCCTCTTGAGTTTCTAATGGGGAAGGAGACCCAGCTCAGTTCCCTGCGACTGAGGTGTGGAATTATTCAAAGAGGTAAGGCATGGATTTCAGCTGGTGCCACAGAATTTTTAAAACCGGCAATACCTGTTTAGTCAGGGGCAATGACCTCATTTCCCTTAGATTGTCAAATTAATAACAACAGCCAACACAATAGCTGTCTGGTGTGAATGAATCAAAATTATACTTTTTGGGGGGGGGGTCAGGCAAAAATATTTTCTGACGTGCTGCAGAATTTTAGTAATTAGTTTATGTGTGCCATGAAATGAAAAATGTTGAAAAATCACTGAGGTAAGGGAACAGTGTTGCGAGCAATAGTGATAGGAACTTGGGTTATTACAGCTGCCACCACCTGAGACTCCCACCAAGGGCAGCCACATCTTCTAGCTCAGGGGTGCGTGGCTATGTGCACCCCATCCTGTCCCTCCCACATCCAGCACTTCTCCCCTTTCTAAGCTGATGGACAACGATGGAAGGAAGCCACTGCTAGGTACACCGTTCTCTTTTTAGTAACGGAGTCTTTTTATTGATAACTTCCCAACAGCATCTGTAAATATCGGATACAAAAATATTCCGTTAAATTCTGTTTTCCAAGGTGGCTCGGCTTGCTTCATGGAGGCCCTGGGAGAGGACTGCAGGGCCCTCAGGGTCCACACCTCTGGTCAGACAGGGGTGGGCATTATCACGCTTGGGGCTGAGTGGATACAGGAGCAGGTTCTTTCATGAGCTTTCTATAACTGTTTCAGAAACCTTGAGATACTATTGGAGAAAGTATTTAATACTTTCATTGGAGGAAGAGACAGGGAGACGAGAACTATTATGTGCAAGAATGGAGCGGGGGGAACTCAGACATGATAGTGCTTGCCCACTTCAAGGAGGTCCTGACTGGGGTGCTGAGACAGGGTCTCTCTGGCTTTTGTCTTTGGGGGACCTTTAAATGTTGTTCAGAGCAGACCTCAGGCCTAGCTCTGGAAAAGCTTCCTTGTGCCCAGCCCAACAACTCCAAATGGCTGCTCATCCCCTGGCCTGGAAGAGGGTCTGAAGGAGAGAGATGCTCTCAGTGAGGAAGGAGTGGGAATGACAGACCCCCAGGAATTCCACACCCTTGGAGGGTGCCTTGTCTCCCAGGGTGCCCTGGATGACAGAATAAGGTGGTAAACCTAACCGTCTTGAGGCAGGGTTACCTGCCGCCACCTCAGATACCTGGAGAGCCCTACGACCCCTTGGAGCACCTGGGAGCAGGGCTACTCCCCCAGCAGCTCCTTGTCATCCATCTGGCCGTGGCCATTGATGGCAGGGGAATCAGGCTGGATGTGGGACAGGTCCTCGAAGCCAGGGCTGAAGGAGGGCGAGATGGTGTCTGGGCTTGTGTCACAGGAGCCTGTGCTCTGTTCTGAGGTGGCGATGGTGGTTGTGGTGCTGGGTGGGATAGGATCTTCATCATCGTCCTCCAGGAAGGATGCTTCCGGGATGTCTGGGGGAAGGAGGCCCAGGCAGGAGTTGGCTTAATCGCCATGAGGGATTAACTGGGCCTGTGATCCCTTGACAGCAAAGCCTCCACCCTACCTCCATGGGACTTGACTTCATCCATTTTACAGAAGAGGGAGCTGAAGCCCAGGCGGGTGAGAGGCTTCCCTTTAAGGTGAGGCGAGGTAAGGACTCAGGCTCTCTGGATCACGCTGACATGGGTCTTAGCGGTGAGATTGAGCCTAGCTCTGCCCTTGGCTATGTCACCTGAGCCAGGCCCCTCACCAGCCCTTGCCTCAGCTCGTTGCTCAATAAACTGGGGCTGATGACAACAGCATTGCCTCTGTACCTGTGGCTGTTAGCAGCCAAGGGGTGGAGAGCTGTTGGCCCACTCAGCACATGGGGTAAACTGAGGTTCAGGGTAAGGGAACCCTGTGCTTCCTCTGACAAGTTGGGGCCCCTCTGGGCCTCCGTTTTGCTGTGTGAAATGAGGATACTCACAGCCCCCACCTCACAGGTGGTTGTGGGTAACAGCCTGCTTATAGCACTCACCGAGGCAAGAATTGCCACTGTTCTTATCCATGTTCCCCCATGCAACCTTCCAAAAGGCAGCCCTGGGCTGAAAAGGCTGTCATTCAAGTGTCGCAGAGACCAGACATGGGGCACAGGAGCCCTGGGTGACACTTACGGCTGAAGGCCTCTGGGTGCTGCCTGGCCAGCTTCCCTTTCAGCGTCCTGTGGGGGAAGGGAAGAAGGTACATAGGCTGAACCCCTTGAGCAGATAGGCTGGGCCCTGTGCAGGCTAACAACCCTTGCTGTTAGCTCTGGGTAGATGGATGGTGGGAACCTCCCTCTCACTGCTTGTCCCACTGTGCTCCTGGGCTGGTGGGAGACCCAGGTGCTCAGCCCTGTGGAACTCCCACCCTCGGTGTGGGTACCCTCAGTGGGGGGGTGTGTGTGGAGGATGGGATGAGGCCCAATGAACAGGTCAGGGGAGGCGGGAAGTGCTGGCTGCCCACACTCTAAATCCTAGCAATCTGATTTGCATCTTGAGAGAAGAGCTGGATAGAGGGTTAGGGGGACAGGAGGCTGGCCTTTCACTGTTGGCTCTTTGCCCACCTTTTCTGCATCATGTGTCTGGTGCTGCATTGCACTTTTCAAAAGATAAAATTTAAATTCAGAAATTTCAGGATTTTTACCCCAGAGTTCAGATCTTTGTGGATGCTAACTACGCCACGAAGCCTTGTAAAACAAGCAAGCTGGATCTCCCCGTTACTCTTTTTTTGTGGAGCAGGTGGCCCTATTAAAAAAGGGAGGACCCAAGGCTTGGAGCTGGAGGCAGAGGCCAGTGGGGCAAAGCACCCACCTAATCCTGCGGAAGATGCTGTCCAGGTCCCGCTTCATCTCCACCAGGGTCCTCGTATGGTGCAGGAAGCGCTCACTCATCTGCTGCAGCCGGGCACTTGATAGGTTGTTGAAATTTGCCAGCATCTCATTGGTCTTCTCAAAGCGGTCCAGCCTGTGGCAGAGAGGCCACCAATGCCTCTGTTCAGCCTCCAGGGCTCTGCCAAGTGAGCATGCTAAACCTCTTTGCTGCTCCATGAGCTTTGCATGTGTTGTTCTCTTCTCCTACAAAGCTCTACTTGATGAGTGAGCCACTCAGCAAACTACTATTCAACCTTCAAAACCTTACTCAAGTGTGCCCTTCTCATGTAGCCTTCACCCTCTCTCTCAAGCACACTCTTTGACTCCCGTAGTCCCAGGCTGTTTCTCTGACACAGCCCTGACCATGATGCCAGGAAGGTTTGTGTCTGGTTTTGTCTTCCCTCACACTAGGAATTCCCCAGGGCCAGGTCTGAATCTGACCTAAAGAACTAGGAGAAAGGTAGGTACTGTTGGTACCCAGACATACCCGGCAACTCTGTCAACAGGGCGGGAAGATAAGGGTATCAGGTCCATGTTGTGTCATAAATGGAAGGAAGAACCTTCGGCTTAAAGACACAGAAATAAAGCCTGTGTTTCCACCCCCCAGTTGTGTCAGCCCTTCTTCCCCACAGGTCAGGCCAGAATTAGAATGGGGCGGCAGTGACCATAGTGCCAAGCCCCAAGGAGGGCAAAGGGGCATTCACAGCCCCTCGAAGAGACTCCAGGTGCTCTGCAGACAGCTTGGTCTGAGAAACCAGGCTCGCAACAGGAAGTCAGCCCACTGGCTCCCTTATATCCCCAGCAGCCCCTTCCCATCCTCCCAACTTTCCCTGCTCCAGGCCTTGGGACAGGAGCTGCTGTGGACTCTGCCAAGCCATCCGCAGCTGTGAAACCATCCCAAAGCCCTGTTTCCTGTGCCAAGGCGTCACCTCCAGGCCACGAAAAAATTTCCTTTAGAGCAAGCCAGCAGATTTGCTCATTTCCTTCATTTTATCACCATTGTGGGGCCAGGGTAGGGGCGGGCAGGGAAAGAATGCTGGCCGGCAAAGTGGATTCCTTCCCACGCCTGGGCCCTCGGCCCTTGGCTACCACTCACATGTTCTTCTGGGCCAGGATGATGGCATTGACGTCATCCACATTCACCATGCTCAGGATGCGGCTGCAGAAGACCCTCGAGGCCGAGTCCGGGGGGTCCATCTCTTCCTCCTCCTCCGCTGCCTAAAATAGGGAGGAAGAAAGTATTCAGTCTGCACCAGGCACTGGGAGAGATGGGACAGAGAGAGGGGCTGGGAACCCCACAGGTTGCTTAAATGTGAGTTGGTCATGCCACCTGAGCCTCAGTTGTCATCTTGAGAATTTGGAGTTTTTCAAGAACTCCAGGAGATCATATTTATGACTTGCACCGAAATACATCAGAATCCCATCTCTCCTCTCTGGCACCTAGTCTCAATGTACCCAAAGCCAGTGGCACCCTCTAACTGCACAGATGTGCCCACTTCCTCCCACACCCCCCCACTCCCACCTTTGCCCATCTCCACTTCAGGGCCTTTGCATCTGCTGTCTACACTAGCAGAACATGCAAGACTGCCCCTTCAGATCATTACCACCTCTGAGGACTTCTCTCCCAGGAAGTCCTTGATAACTGTCCCTACTCTGGTCACTTTTATCACTTCACTTTGTTTTAATTGCTTCACTGGCTCATATTAGTTGTCAGTACACCTGTTTGCCTGTCTTCCCACAGCAATATCAGCTCCAAGAGAGTCAAGGTGTGTGTCTCTCACATGCTGCTCTGTCTCCAGAGCCCAGCCTAGAACCTGGCTCACAGCAAGGGAGCACCAGAACTTCATCTGGCAGAGGCAAACAAGACCTTTCAAACTCTGCTCTGACACTAGACTTTTAGCAGCAAATTAAAGCCAAGAATTTCAGGCACTTGAACCCAGGCTGTGGGCCCCAGCAATCCAGATGGCTCTATAGCCCTCCGCTTCCCTGGCACGCAGATAATCATCCCAGTTGGTGGGGGCTTCCTGGATCAGGACAGGGCAAGGAAGCCCACAGCCCTGGTCGGTGTGGCTCGGTGGGTTGAGCACTGGCCTGTGAACCAAAAGGTTGCCTGTTCAATCACTGGTCAGTGCACATACCTGGGCTGGGGACCAGGTCCCCAACTGGGGGCATGCAAGAGGCAACCTAGTGATGTTTCTCTTGCATATTGATGCTCCTCTTTTCCTTCTCCTCTAACAAATAAAATCTTAAAAAAAAAAAAAAAGCCATAGTTTCAGCACTGATCCTCTTGGTGGGGGGCTTTGGGAAAAACCTAGAACCATGACATAGCTTGGTTCTGGGGCACACACATTTAATTGCAAACAGAAAGGCCCACTTGCCATTGGTTAAGATTCACAGGATCAGGAAGGGCTTTCATAGCCTACTTACTCCACCCTCTACTGAGTATCAGTTTTATACATGGGAACTATTACCCTTATATGTGAGAAAACAAGCTCAGAGACCTAGGCGCTGGGCCACTGTCACACAGCCAGTGAGCCTGAGTCACAACTCAAATGCCCACGGTCTGCAGGATCTACAAAGGTGTGAAGCTGTACAGATGCTCAGTATCTACCCATGACAACACAGCAGCTTCATACTGCAGTTGCTTCTTGCCAGACTTCTTTTTCCAGGAATAAAAAAGGAAATAGGGTCTTTTGTTCCCCCTGTGACATCGTCTAACACGTTAGCAACTAATACTTTTTTCCTCAAAACACCATAGAGACCAAGTGTATTTCTGCCCTGAATCTAGCTAGCAGTTTGCAACCCCTAACCTGCCTTTTGGAAATAAGCTGCCATACCACCTGGTGAAATTCTGTCCCTCTACCAATAATCACTGTTTATTGAGCTCCCACTGTGTGCTCAATATGGGCACCCACAGGCTCCACATTTCAATAAAAGCATGATCATGTATACTTGGGCTCAAAGGGCAGAACCATGTCATTGGAAGCCCACAACTAAAGACTGGCAAGTACAGGATTTGGACCTGCAGGAAATGTTTCTGCTTCAAAGTAGGGTTCTTTCCTGACTCTGGTTCCCAGATGTGAGAGATTCAAGGAACACTCCTCCACCCCCAGCTGCCTCTCTCAGGAAGGCTTCCCTGACTATCACCTAGTTTGAACCACATTAAGGGTAGAAATGACCCAACAAAGACTTTGGGCCCTGCTCCAAATACATTTATGAGGGAAACACGCGGAGAGGGAGGCTGTGTGACCTTCGCAAAGTCATCTCACCTCCCTGGACCAGTTTTCTCATCCAAAAATGGTAGTAACAAACAATCAGAATCTCACAGGGCTGTCTGTGGGAACTGAAACCAACAATAAGAAGCAGAACTCGGAGCAGGGTGTTTCTCCAAGGGAAGTGTAAAGAAGTCCTAGGAAGGGGCGTGAGAATCAGGATATTTGACGAGGGCCTCCCTGGTGCTTCCAAGAATATGAGCAAATTTAATCCTCAATCACCCCTACAAGGCAGACACTATCGTTCACCTCCGAGGGCAACCAAGGCTCACAGGGGTGGGTCCCGACGCCCAAGGTCAAACGGCGAGGCGTAGAGGCGCCGCAATTCCACCCAGGTCATTTAATAGAATTTAATTTGGCGGCCCAAGCTTAGCAAAACCCCGGAGTGGGGACGGGGCTCCCATATCCCCTCACACCCCGACCCTGCAAATCGGGGAAACTGAGGCCCAGGCAGGCAACGCCCGGATCCGGGTGACACTGCAGACCTGAACACAGGCGGCCCCAACTCCCGCAACCCGGACCCGGACCCACTTAACAGACGGGGAAACTGAGGCCTGTGTACAGGAGGGGTGCGCAGATGTGGCCAGTGGCGCACCACACCCCGCGAGAGCCCGGAGGCTGCGCCCAACCTGGCCTGGCTCCCCAGCGGTACCGGCGGCCCCAGCCCCACCCAGAACTTGGCCCCGGCGTCGGTGGCAGCGGCACCTGCACATCTGGCGGACTTGCTCGCGCTTCCGGGATGGCGCCCGCGCCGCCGTGACGTCACCACGCACCATGCGCCAGAGCTTAGGAGGCGGTGACTTGTCCGGGACCGACTTGCTTGCGTGGAGGCGCGGCAGGAAAAGGTGGGACTTACATGCAGTTTCAGTTCTCATGTGCGTCACAACGCGTAGCCAATCAAGTCGTCCCTATCGCGCCGGCGTAGTTCTCAAAGCCCAAGTTCCAAGGCAGAGCGGAAGGGGGTGGAGGGTGAAAGATGTATGATTGTATGACTCGTGTTTTTGCTCATTTTTTTTTCTCGGTTCAAGATCCCATTTAGTCACATCTCCTTATACTCCTCTACTCTGTGACAGTTACTCAGTCTTTCCTAATCTCTCATGACCTTAATACTTTGGAAGACTACTGGTTTTGTAGAACACCCATCAATATGGGTTTACCCAGTTTCCTTAGGATTTGACTGAAGTTGAGTTTGGACAGGAATCTCAAAAAGATGTGTCCTCAGTGTATCGTATCGGGAGGAACGCGATGTTGACTGATAACTTGCTTTCTGCAATGTCTTGCCAGTTTCTCAACTATTAAGTTACTATTTTCGCCTTTGCAGTTAATAAGCATCCTATGAGATAAGAGACAATGCAAATATCCTAAGGTTTTGTTTTTTCAACATTTTATTTTACTTTTTTAAAAAATTGGTTTGAGAAAGAAGTATTGATTTGTTGTTTGACTTATTTATGGAGTCATTAGTTGATCCTTGCATGTGTCCTGACCGGATATCAAACCCACAAAGTTAGGTATTGGGACGATGCTCTAACCAACTGAGCTAGCTGGTTAAGGCCTCTTTTAACATTTACAAAAACATTTTTCACCCACGAGCTTTAGCATCCATCCATGGCTCTTGCAGGCAACAATTATTACTATGATGTGTAACGGTGTTTTTCTGTTTATTAATTGGAATTCTGTTGTTAGTAAGAGCTGTCCATTCTCCAATTATGTATTTAATCACATATTTATGTCACTATGAACAAATGAGTATTTTTATACTGTTATAATTAATCACTATATTATTTATTTTGCTTTTGCTGCCCCTTTCAGTTAGCACCTGTGTCCTTTTACTATGTCTCCATCTTTCTCTGAGTACTTCCTTACTTTTTCCTTGTTTGCTTTAGAATATCCTTGGAATCATCCATTTCTCCAAGGATTCTGGATATTTTTCCTGGAGAATGTTATTTAGAAACCAACCTCTGAGTGCTGAGTGTGTTCAGTGCTTAGAGACTCTCTCAACTGTCAGAGTTAGATTTGTATGTCTGCTAACCCATGCATACACACATATATACTTCTATATCTGTCCTCCTGTGTGTGTGCTGAAAATCATGAGCAAAATTGGGTAGATAGTAATTGCTCAATAAATGTTAGCAATTGATTATCATTAGTTGAGGTCTTATGATGTGTGTATGTTACATGTATAATTTTTCTGGGTCTTAGTTTGTTAACTGTGAGCCTGGATGATCACAGCATCTGCCGCTTAAGGTTGTTGAAAGCTTGGGCGATACACACATGTTCTTTGGCCACGTGGAAGACTCTTTAAGGACCCTGGAATTGGAAATATCTGAGTTCTAATTTCCAATTCTGTCACATCCTCGTTGGATGGCCTCAGACAAGTGGCTTAACCTTATGAAAATATAAGTTCCTTATAACAAGGCTTGACTCACTGTAAGCCCTCAGTAAACTGTACTATTACTCCCACACTCTGCTGCTTTCATTCATTGAAAAGTTAATAAAGACCAGGATTCTTACATATTTAGTTCTAAAAGCAGTTTGGAAAATCGTTCAGTAAACCTTCTAGCCATCCCTTCTCTATGTGGCCCATATTCTGAGGATCCAGAGAGTGCTCAGCCCCTGCTTAGCCTTGGAAGACAAAGGGAGACAGAGTCTGATACAGACATTCCCAGCCCTGAATGCCACAGTCCCAGGCTAGACGGATGAGAGACTCAAAGCTGGAGAAACCGAAAAGTGGGGTACATTTTGAGTGCAAGGAAGCAAGTATATCTGGATGGGATTTTGAGGTAGAATTAGGAGTTTCATAGGTGCTGACATTCATTTGGGTCTGAGGGAATCACAGGAGAAAAGGCAGCATGGTGGGAAAGCACGTAGTATAGACTTTATCTTTGTGAGAATTGTGGAGCTCAGCGAGCCAGACAGCAGCCAATGCTGAGAGGAGTCCACGTTGGGGGCGGGGGCGGGGAGCTGCTGGGAAAAGTGGAACCATGGCTCTGTGTGCAGGCTGCAGCAGTAGAGACCCAGGCTGGATAAGTCAAGCTTTTCAATGAGTCTCTTGGGGCCGTTAAAGTCCCGGAAACATTTATAAGGGTCCTGGAAGGGGGTGGGACTGTACGTAGAGGCCAAAAGGGACTTGGCCAGTCCCAAATGTTTTGTGCACAGTAGAGTGGAAACAAAAATATTTTCCTCCTTTGTGCATTTGAGGTAGAGGGTGGAAAGTGAATGAAATGCTCTGTCAGCCCAGTGATGGGAACAGTGGTGGTGGAAAGGCCTATCTGGGGACTAGAAACCTTTCTCCACTTTTTTCAGTTTTATTTCCTACATAGCATTCATCACAGCTGAAATTAGATAGTCATCTACATTATTGCTTGTGCAGTATCCAGCTCCCTGGCTAGAATTGAAGGTCAATGGGGGAAGAGACCAGGCCCATAGTGCCTTTCATCCCTGTTAATTTGAACAAGATAATTAACTTCTCTGCACCTTAGTTTATAGTGCACATATGTAGAATGATAATAAGAGTCTTACCAAAATGAATGTATCCAATTCTAAAGAAATCAAGAGAGAAAAGGAGCATAAGGTAGTTGTGACAGAGAAGAAACATGCAAGAAGGCATATTAAATCCAAATATGTCCATAATTACAGAGGCCAATGTAAATGTAAATGTAAATATAAAGAGGCCAAATGCCCCAGTTGAAAGACAAAGATGGGCAGACTGGATCAAAAAACAAAACCTGGTTCTACTCAACTTACAAGAGACAACATATACAACATAAGCATATGGAAAGGTGGAAGATAAGGGGTAGAAAAGGATGGAGCCTTTAAAACATGAACCAAGAAAACATGCCCTGGCTGGTGTTGCTCAGTGGACTGCAAACCATAGAGTTGCCGGCTCAATTCCCAGTCAGGGCACATGCCTGGGTTGCAGGCCAGGTCCCCAGTTGGGGGTGCACAAGAGGCAACCACACATTGATGTTTCTTTCCCTCTCTTTCTCCCTTCCTCCCCCCGTCTAAAAAAAAATAATAAAATCTAAAAAAAATTTTTTTAAATGCAAAACTTAGGAAGGTAATTCTTATTGAATAAGAAGTTTAGCCATCTGAAGAAATCAATGAACAAAAAAAAAAAAAAAGAAAGAAAACAGGTATGCAACTTAATACCAAAGTTCACTCTAAGGCAAGAAGCATAGCGGTAACAAGGCGCATATCACAACAATCACAAATTTGATTTACCAGGAAGATATGATTGCAAGTCTATGTAGCCAATGAAGTGGATTCCAAATATCAGAATATTTGTTTTATAAGGCTAATATGAGGATTAAACACATGTAGAATGTTTGTCTACGGCTATGGTACCTGAGTGCCAGCCATTATTATTGTGATAATTTTGGTGTTATTATTTTATATTTGTTTATTTTAGTTGTTTGTGTATTAGTATCATTTACTACAGTTCCTGTGACAGAGGTGGGGCTGGACGGGTGACTCCACCTTACAGATAAAAACACTGAAGTTCAGAGGTGTAGTTACAGCGCTGGGACTAGCCCAGAGTTTATTTTATATTCTCTCCAGGCATTTCTCACATATCCCTGCTGCTCTCCCACCTCTTCTGGCTGGCCAGCCTGCTTCCTTCCTTTCACAAAGATTTTTCCCCCAAGTTCCCTCACCCCCCCACCTTTTGCCTCATGCACTGTGTAGGCTTCAGAGCTAAAACAATGAGAAGCTACAGGCCCTTCTGAGACTTTGGGGGTCTTCCAACCTTGTGGGTGAGGCAGAGGTAAGGCCAAGTGATGGCAGATAGAAGTCAGTTATGAAGTGGAGGTTCAGCATGCTAAGAGAACAGCCAGTCAGGGAACCTGGCCTTGGCTTGGAGAGGTCTGGGAGGGTTTCCTGTAGGAGGTGACCTACAAGCTCTGACCTAACAAGTTACCGCCCAAAGCCAGTACCTCCTTCTCTGTAAGCTACTTCCAAAGCCAATGGCTCACTCATTCATTTAATTATTCGCTCATTTATTGAACTCCCATAGGTATTAGGCGTCATTCAAGGAGGTGGGATGAGGAGCAAAAGAAGCAAAATTCCTTCCAGGAAGGAGCAGGTATGGGTGAGGTGCATCAGAATCGAAAGAACAAACAAGATCACTCTGGAAGGGAATAACTGGTGGGAAGGAAAGAAAATAGAGCGAGGGAGGAGTAAATGCCCCCCTTTTTAAACCATGATTCATAAAAACCCATCTAATCGAGGCAGACACCTTCTCCCGTGGCAGTGGGCACCTTATCACCATCTCGCAGAGGGTGCCGGGAGGAGGAACTACCCCCAGCAGCCCTGCTTACTCAGTGGCTCACCTAGTCTTTGCTGAGCAACTCCGGTATGCACCAGGCTACCTTCCCAGGATTATACCACGTAGGGAGGCGGGGGTTCTGTGTACCCTTGGGCACATCTCTTCCCCCTCGAGACCTCGGGTCTACAGGACTTCAGAGTGTGTTTTCCAGAACTCCTTAAGGAAATACTATTTAATGTTATCCTCCCAACAGCCCCCAAGGTTAGAGTGCATGGACTGGAGTTCATCCCCATTTAACAAAAGGGCAGGATGAAGCTCAGACCGGAGCATTGAATCGCACACGCTGCACAGCTCCGACCCACAGATGGACTGGTCTAGAACCCGTTGCCTCCGCCCCCTCCCGGGTCGCGCGGCTGCCTCTGCCCCTTTAATAACGCCCCGCGGATACAAGCAGGAAGGGGGCGGTGCCTGTGCCTGAGACGGATGTGCGCTTAGACCAATGGGTACTGAAGTCTTGGCGGCGGCGGCCAATAGGCACTGTAGGGGCGGGGCCTGGTGCCCGAGCCTAGTTCCCGAGGCGCGGCGGCCGCGGCTGGGGGCGGGAAGGGGGCGCAGGACCCCAGGCGGGGGTCCCGGAGCCGGAGGCACGTGTCCCGGGGCGACTGCAGGGCCGCGTCGGCCGGGAGCGCTGCCCGGGCCTAGGCTGGTCCGGGGGCCGACGCGGCGGGGGCTGCAGCCTATGGGCGGGGCGAAGGGCCGCGGGGGAGGCGAACCGGGGTGTGCTGGGGGTCGGAGTGCCGGAGGGGGTGCGGCCAGGCGGGGGCAGCGGGGGTGGGGGCCCAGAAGGTCCAAAGGGAGCCAGGGGAGCTCTGCTGGCAAATACCTGCAGGGCCCGGGGCACTCAAGGGGTTCTGGAGGCTGGGGACTCAGCCTGGTGGCGTCAAACAGGCGTGGGGCGTTGGGGGCCTGGGTGAGGGGCTGACGGACGGCCAGGCACGGGCGGGGGGGAGCATTTGGAAGGCGTAGGGTGTTACGCGATCAGGAAGGGGGCGGTCTGGGAACATCGGGTTGTTTACGGGGCGATAGGGGCAATAGGATGGCTGTGGGGGCAACTGGTCTGGGCTGGGGGCGGTGGTTGGGGGAGGGCTATTTGTGTAGGCTTAGGGGATTGTGGGGGTAGGGGTTGGGAGCGTCCCTGGAAAGGGGGCCGAGCCCGGAAGGAGCAGGCAGGTGAGGAGGGTTGGCAGGGATGGGGGATGCTGTGGCTTAGAACGAAGGCTGTACCACCTCCAAGCTTGGGGCCTGGGGGTGGGCGACAGTCCTTAATGGCCCAAGGAAGAGGCTGTAGGCTGCGGTGGGGCTCTCCACCGTTCCTATAAAGAAGGCCACTTTGGGAGGCTTGTCGGGAGGCTTGTCAAGAGGCCTGAGGAGAGGAGAAAGGGCTCCCAGAAAGTGTTTGGGCTAGGGTCTTTGGTGTGGTTTAGGTTCAGAGTATGTAAGGAAAAGGCTTGGGTCTTCTAGGTGGTGGTTAAGTTAGCAGAAGGGCCCCTCTTAGGAGAAGGGGCAGGTGGAGATGGGGAGCCTTGGTAAAGATTCAATTCTCCTTTTCTTGGGCTCTAAAAATAGTCTCCCCAAGATCTCAGGGATTGTCCACCTAAAAACCACCCAGCATCTCCTCTGGGCATTTAATCAGATAAAGCCCCAGGTTCAAATCCTGCCCCTGCAGTTGGCTTGCTCTGTGACCTTGGGCAAATGGCTTTGCTCCTTTGGGCCTCAGTTTCCTTTTCTGCAAAATGTGGGGGGATGTTTCCTGCTTCCTGGGGTGGTTATAAATATTAAACATTATTTAGCTCTAATAATAGCTGTGTTTGAGCCTAATGCCTAGGGCTTGATGCTTGAGTCTTTATCCTCCGGGCAAGCCAGGGTTGTTGCTCTATCCACTCTACAGATGAGGAAACTGAGGCCTGGAGCCCCTGAGTCACATAGCAAGTGATCCACAATGTGAAGAATGGATGCACAGGAGGACATGAGGGGCTGGGTGGGATTTTTACCCTCATACGTTCCCCCCATCAGGGCCAGTTCCCGTCCCCCCAGCAGCATGGCATCCTGTGCTGAGCCCTCTGCCGTGGGCCCTGAGCCTGCCACCCCACCGCCTGCTGGGGTCCCACCGCTTGAGGACTTCGAAGTGCTGGATGGGGTGGAAGATGCAGAAGGCGAAGAGGAAGAGGAGGAGGAGGACCCGAGTGAGCTGCAGCCGCTAGAGGACATGGGGCAGCCCCCACTGGAGGAGACTGAACAGCCTGGGGCCCTGGCCCGAGAGTTTCTGGCCACCATGGAGCCTGAGCCCGAGCCTGCTCCAGCCCCAGAAGAGTGGCTGGACATCCTGGGTAAGGTTGCAGGGGTGGCTCGGGTTGACCCATAGGGCCTAGACAGCTACAGTTCAGTAGTGACCTTGGCCCAAGCTTTCTCTTCTGATTTCCCCAACTCTGCCATGAAGTAGGTTGGAAGTAAAACGTGGTAACCATGGTGATTGCCAGACACAGTCAGCTACTTGACATGTTTCATGTCTGTGAACCCCCTTCATTGTCTCTCTCTCTTGCACACATACCCCCCAGCTCAGAGAGGCTGAGTCATCCGTCCAGGGCCACACAGCAGCCAGCATTCCAGGTGCCAGCAGCTCGCAACCTCCACTACTTTTTCTTTTCTTTTCTTTTTTTTAAGATTTTATTTTTAAATTTATTTTTAGAGAGGGGGGAAGGAGGGAGAAAAGGAGAGAAACATTGATGTGCAAGAGGTACATCTACTGGTTGCCTCTTGCAAGCCCCCAGTTGGGGACTTCGCTGGAAAGCCAGGCATGTGACCTGACTGGGAGTTGAACCAGCAACCTTTTGATTTGCATGACAATGCCCAACCCACTGAGCCACACCAGTCAGGCCTCCACTACTTCTTTCCTTGGCATTTGTTTGACAAGTGCCTGTCCCCTGGAAAAATGTGTCCTCAGATCACGTAAATCTCAACATCGCAATTTGTTGTTCATCCCTCTGTCTGGTTCACAGTATTCATTAGCATTCTAATTTCTCAGAGAAGTCCTGCAAGAAAGAACTCGGAGAATCCGCACGTGTCCTTGCCATGGACCCCATCACAGCAATTCTGAAAGCTAGAGAATCGTGTTGTTATTAGTACTGATATCTGTGTAACATGCTAACTAATGCTGGTGCCACACAGACAATAGTAAAACCTCATCGTTACTATTACCATTTATACTGATACCAAAACAATAGTATAAAATAATACTAATACTGATAAAACAGTACTGTTACTAATGTTGCTTCCACTGCTGATAAAAACGTTACTACTTCTAGCCCTGGCTGGTGTGGCTCAGTGGATTGAGTGCCGGCCTGTGAACCAAAGGGTCGCTGGTTTGATTCCCAGTCAGGGCACATGCCTGGGTTGTGGGCCAGGTTCCCAGTAAGGGGTGTGCAAGTGGCAACCACACATTGATGTTTCTCTCCTCTTTCTCCCTCCCTTGCCCTCCCTCTGAAAATAAATAAATAAAATCTTTTAAAAAAAGAAAAAAAAAGGTTACTCCTAAAAATAACACCAGGTAATACTGACTGCCAGCTGGTTCCATGCCAGGCCTGCCCACCATCTTACTTTATTCTCACAACGACCCTGTGACGTAATTCCTAGAATACAGATGAGGAGACTGAGGCTCAGATAGGTGAGGGTGCTTGCCCCATGCTGGCGTTTGGGAAGCTTTTCTCTACTGATATAAGGAGCTGCCCTGCTCCGCCTCTGAGTAGGAGGCTGGCTCTGTCCTTTTATATTGAGAGTCAGCTATATTCTAAAGTCATAGTTCAGGCTTCCAGGCAAGGAAACAGGCCTCGAGAGGGACTGTGATTTGCCCAAAGTTCCCCCGATGAGAGGCGGTGTTTGATTTCGATTCTGTCAGTATATCCACTATTAGTGCCCTGAAATCTCAAGACACAGGGACCTCCAGAATCCACTAGATCAGTGCTTCTTAGGCTGGATGCAGGGGCATGTACAAGTTGTGAAGCAGCACACAAAGTTGGAACATCGTAGAATATTCCAGAAAACGAATAGACACCTCTCTGTGCCTAGCCTTTAGACTAGAATCCACTCAGACTTAGGCTGTCCTCTAGACCAGTGATATATTACAGACTACTGGGACACTGAGCCCAAAGGTGTGGGGTCACTTGCCCAGTAAGTGGCAGAGCAGCCTTTTGAAGCTCAGCTTATGCCCTGGGGCTGGGCTACTCCTGGGATGGGTGAAGCTGGTGGGGGTTGTAGGGGAAAGGGCTTGGATCCACTGAGCCAGTGAGCCACTGAGTGACAGGCTGCTTGTCCCCGGTCCCTGGCAGGGAATGGGCTGTTGAGAAAGAAGACATTGGTCCCAGGCCCTCCTGGTTCAAGCCGCCCTACCAAGGGCCAGGTGGTCACAGTGCAGCTGCAGACGTCACTGGAGAACGGCACACGAGTGCAGGAGGAGCCGGAGCTGGTGTTCACCCTGGGCGACTGCGACGTCATCCAGGTGGGAGTGGGTTAGAGTGTGGGCAGCCTGGCACAGGGTAGGGTGGGGCAGAGGTGGAATGGAGGGAGTGATGGAAGTGGAGGTGGTGATAGCTGGGTGGGCTGAATTGGGGCGGGGGCAGGCTGCTCCTGGATCCACCTCAGGACCCTCCTCATACCTCTGCACACCAGGCCCTGGATCTCAGTGTCCCGCTCATGGATGTGGGGGAGACAGCTATGGTCACTGCGGATTCCAAATACTGCTATGGCCCCCAGGGCAGGTGAGAACCTGCCGTTGTGGGGGTCCCTTTTGGGGTAGGGAGGAGGTAGGTATATGACTCACCAGGTCACATAGCTCAAGGGTGGCAAGAGTCACTTTTCTCATGTTTTACTGAGTAGGGCCAGCTCTAGGACTTGAGTCCTTTCCTGCCTGCTCCCAGTGTGTCTTGCCCAGTGTGTCTGGGGTGCTGTCATGGTGGCTGCCAGGTCTGAGTGCTCCCCCTGCCCCACCCCCCAGCAGGAGCCCATATATCCCCCCTCACGCGGCCCTGTGCCTGGAGGTGACGCTGAAGACAGCTGTGGATGGACCTGACCTGGAGATGCTCACAGGGCAGGAACGTGTGGCATTGGCCAACCGGAAGCGGGAGTGCGGCAATGCTCACTACCAGCGGGCTGACTTTGTGCTGGCCGCCAACTCGTATGACCTCGCCATCAAGGCCATCACCTCCAGCGCCAAAGGTGACCACCCGGTCAATCCCCCTACCTCCCTGGCAAAAGTGTCTGTTAGTGTCAGAAACCTTGGAGAAGTCATGGAGGACCTGACACTCAGAATGTTGTAGAATATTCCAGAGTATGGATAGATGCTCATCTGTCCCTAACATTTAGGCTAAGGCCCACTCCAGCCCTGTGGTAGATCCCAGATCAATGGGATGTCACAGGACACAGGTAGATGTAGAGGTGTCGGTGACAGCACATGGTATCATGCCATATGCCTGTGGTTAAGCCTATGCTTCACTTGGGCTCTGTTTTGCAGACTTCTTGGAAGTGCCGAGAATGGTGCAGTCTTGGCCTGTTTTAGAGCTGGGGGCACTGAGGTCCCCTGAGGGACAACTTCTCATAACTGAGACCCCTCCCTAGTCTCCTCTTCCACCAGGTGCAGAGGAGTGGGCTTTGGCTCAGGTCATGTAGTGGGCAGGTGGTTGTGAGGGGCTGGTGGTGTGGTAATGGCTCCTGCAGTTGAGTACTGTCCCCCAACAGTGGACATGACATTTGAAGAGGAGGAGCAGCTCCTGCAGCTGAAGGTGAAATGTCTGAACAACCTGGCAGCCTCGCAGCTGAAGCTAGACCACTATCGGGCTGCGCTGCGCTCCTGTAGCCTCGTGCTTGAGCACCAGCCTGACAACATCAAGGCTCTCTTCCGCAAGGGCAAGGTGGGCCATGGCTGGGTGGGCCACAGGCCGCAGGTGCTGGTGGCAGGCTGGCTCTCCCAGCCCAGACCAGTGGGACTGGATCTGAACCCAGGATTTGGAAAGGGCATAGGCGTCAGCCACCCAAGCTCTCTGGGGTACAGGTAGAAGCGCTGAGGCCCAGACAGGTGCAGAAGTGTGATATGAGTTGTAGCAACTCACTGACCGAGGCCAGACGTGAACCCCAAGCCTTAGGCTCCCACACACTGGTCTATGGCCCAATGGTGACTGCTCATTACATATAATCCTCTGTGGCTTCCCTCTTCTTCAGAACAAAAGTTAAGTTCTCATTGCAGCCCTTGGGGCGTTGAGTCATCTGATTTTTCTTCTCTTCCCGTCATTTTCCAACTCACCTCTTGCTTCCTTCCATACGGTTTAGCCTCCTTACTCCTACCTTTGTATAGGCAATTCCCTCCGCCTGAGACATTCATAGCCCCGGTACCCCCATGGGCTCTTCCTTTGCCTTCTTCAGGTCTGTGCTGTAATGTCACCTCTTTGGGAAGCCCTCCCTTGCCGCTCCCCACCCTGAACCCCCTGCCACCGTCTTCATATTTCCCATGTCACTGTCAGCATATGGAGGTGTCAAGCCTCTTGTCCATCTCCCCTGCTAGGAGGTGGAGATTTTGTCTGTCTCACTCACTGCTGAATCTCTATCCTTGCAAAGAGGGCCAGACACACAGTAGGTGCTTAGTCAGTTTTGGCAGAACATAGGGGAGAATTTGGCCTCATGGACTTGACCTTAATTGTTTTCTTTCCCATCTGTTCTTCCTCACAGCAACCCTGGATGGGGCAGAATGGGGATTTTTCAGCTCCTTTTAGCAGTGAACTGAGAAAACTGAGGTGCAAACAAGCACTGGGTCACTGGCATGTTTGTGAGAGACCTGAGCAGGGCCTCTCTCCAGCTAGCATTTCTTTTTAAATCCTCACCCGAGGACATGCTTATTGATTTGAGAGAGAGAGGAAGGATGGGAGGGAGGGAGAGAGGGAGGGGGGGAGGGAGAGAGACAGACAGACAGACAGACTTTGATTCTAGAGAGAAACGGTTGGTTGAACCAGCAGCTTAGATACGTGCCCTGACCGGGAATCGAATCCATGACCTTTCAGTTTGTAGACGACGTTCCAGCCAACCGAGCCGCCACCAGCCAAGGCCAGCCAGCATTTTTTTACGCACTTGCTTTGTGTGGACTTCTGCATGGAAATGTAGAGAAGAATACAATGTCATTCCTTTTTTTCAATGGTGTATAACGCTGCTTGTGTAGCTCACACGTTTGGATATGTTGGTTGGAGGTGATAGAAACCCACTCAAGAAGATTGAAGCAAAAGGAGGAATGGCTTGTGACACTGTCCAGTCCGGGGTGGCTGGGTTCAGGCAGGGCTGGATCCAGGCATTAGCAATGTTGTGGGAATGCTATGTTGGTCTGCTGTCAGGGAGGCTTCTCTCTTGGGAGTGACTAAGGTGCTCCCTCCTGACCCCCAAAAGCTCCAGGCTTACATTCTTGCCGCTCAACATCTGGCTTCCCAGTGGCACCAGCATATTTCAGGCTGGATCTTATTGGTTGGCTTGAGTTACCATGCTGGTTCTGAATCCTTCACCATGGTCAGAGCTTTGGAAATGCCTAGCCAAGGTGGTAAGGGAGGAGTAGGTGAAGTGGGTGACTGGATCTCTTGTACAGGCTGAAATAGGCACTCAGGGAAGGAGAATGTTGAGGGGACAACATTGAATCCAGTGGGGTGATCATGGAGTCTGAGGGCTCAGGAGAGCAGAGTGGGATGAGTGGACTCCTGGGGATAGATTTGGGACTTCTCAGGGTGGCCAGGAGCCTGGTATACCTGGGTGTCATGAAAGAAAGCATGGCCCAGTTGTGGGTCCAGAGTGATGCCACCTCCGTCCTCCCATAGGTGCTGGCCCAGCAAGGGGAGTACAGTGAGGCCATCCCCATCCTGAGGGCAGCCCTGAAGCTGGAACCTTCCAACAAGGTGAGCAGAACAGGGGTGCCCTGGGAACTTGCCCTATCGGCCTACGTGGGATGTCCCCCTTTCCTTGCTGTGGCTCTCCCTGTTGTGTTTTTACCTCAGCAGTGGCAGGGAGTAGGTGGCTGAAGGGCCCTAGCCAGCTTGCTGAGGCACTTATGACCCATACACAAGTGGTCTGGGCTCATCCTGAACCAGGGGTCCCAGAAGCCAAGGGTGCCGCCAGCTTGGCCAATGCCAATGTCCCCAGCTTTCCTCCCAGAATCTTGTGCTCTGCCCCGTCTATGGGCTCCCTGGAGGCACAGAGATGGCAGTCTCCACTTTGCCGATGCCCAGAGAGGGAGCAGACGGAGCCCTTGTGTTCCTGTGGTGCCAGTCCTAGAGTGACCCAGGGCACCAGAAAGGCAGAGCTCCAGCGATGGTGGTCATGTTCTTAGCCCAACTGCCATCCCCCTCTCCCAGACGATCCACGCAGAGCTCTCGAAGCTAGTGAAAAAGCATGCCGCCCAGCGGAGCACAGAGACTGCCCTGTACCGGAAAATGCTGGGCAACCCCAGCCGGCTGCCTGCCAAGTGTCCTGGCAAGGGTGCCTGGGTAAGCTGGGGCCAGTGGGCAGGGAGGCTCCTGCAGGAGGGGCAGGGCAGACCACGTAAAGGGACAGTCTTCATTTTGCAAACGTTGATGTTCTCATCACCTCAGCTGTGCTGGACCATGATGGGACACAGGCCCTGACCCTGTGTGACCAAGACCAAAGCAGAAGATGGAATACAATCTGTAGGGCTTGGGGTGGGGAGGGGTGGCTCATCCAGAGGGAAAGGGGCGGTATCCCAGAGGAGGGGAGATTTGGCTTGCGCTTTGATGCACGTAAAGGAGTTTACCAGGAAGCAGGAAAGGCATGGTCAGGCAGGGGCTTGTTGGAAGGCCTGTAGGGGTCCTGTTGGTACCCGAGGCCGAAGATATCAGTCTTGACTGCCCTCCAGCTTCCTCCTCCCTCCCTTTTATCTACAGTCCATCCCATGGAAGTGGCTGTTCGGGGCAACTGCTGTTGCCCTGGGGGGTGTGGCTCTCTCTGTGGTCATCGCTGCCAGGAACTGACTGTCCAGGTGCCCGCCACCCCTTCTGAGCACCATGGACCCTACCACGCGCTCCCTAACTCTCCCAGGCTCCCTGTCCACTACCCTCTCTGGCCTAGCCTCCTCCTCTGGGGCAGGGACAGCGAGGTTTGAGGGTCATGTGGCCCAGTGAACAGGAGGGACTGAGGCCCTATAGGAGGAAAGTGAGGCAGGGACGAGCCCCCGTCCAGCCCGTAAGTAGGGGGCCCTCATTCCTCCAGACCCAATTCCCACCCCCACTGCCCCCCCCCAGGTTAGGTCTCAGTAGGGGTCTGCCTCAGTTTCTCCTTCCCAAGGCCTGGGGGCAGCTTTCCCCCCATCCAGTCCCTGTCCAAGTGCCAACCTCTCCTGCCCCGTGTACTGCCCTCTGTCCAGGCTCTCCCTCAACCCAAGTGAAATAAAGCCTCCCACCCTGCATTCTTCTGGTTCTGGAGCCTTCTTTCACCGCCACTTGGGGCTGGGCCAGAGCGGGAAGGGGGGCGGGTCTCCTCTTGGGCCACAGCAGATGTGTGTTAGAGGGGGAAATGAGCTTGAAGAAGTGGGATGATGTGCCTAGAGCACCCAGATGTGAACTCCATAGGCGTTCACACTCCCTGTGCCTGTTACCCCATCCCGTCTTGTTTCTGTTAACTGAAAACAGGGACCCTGATGGGACCTAACTGGGGGCTTCTCTGAGACCAACAATTAAATGGGTCTGTAGTACTGTGAGCTGACAGCCCTGTGTCTGGGCAGCAGCAGCATAGCCAATACAGAGGCTCGAGATTCTTCAATTAGCTGGCCAGGTAGAGGATGTGTTGAGGGGCTGCCCCAAGGTAATGAACATACCAATGCTTGGTGATTTCTCTGTTGTCCCTGGGGTACTGTTGGGAGGCTCTGGGATAGTGAGTGTAAAGTAGAGAAATGCTTGTTACCAAATATACAGCCTATGGTTGCAGTGTTGCTGATTGTCTGAATTTCTCCAGGCATCAGTTTCCTCATATGGCAGAACTTCTCCAAGCCTGAGTTTCCTCCGTTTCCAAACCACTGTATCCACCCCAAAAGGCACCCATGGGTCCTAAGCCCTGAGCACAAAACCTCAGCAGTTAATGATCGGGGGGTATATGGATGGTAGTGCTGTCTTGGCAGTGGCAGGCAGAACTAACAGGATCACTTGGGCAGGGACATACGGAAGATTCCTGAACTTCACCTTCCTCTCTTACCTGAAAATCTTCATCCTATGACCACCACCATCTGTAATTAGATTAAAGGAAGAAAGCAACCCCAGAGTTTCCCTGAAGTCTGGAGGCCCAGGAGCCCAGGAGGAGCTTTCCTGGGTGAGCTAGCACTTGCGTTTAGCCTCATTTTCCTCACCTGTACAAGGAGAGCTTAATGATGCAGTTTCTGTGGAAAATAGTCTGGCAATTCCTTAAAAGGTTAAACAATTACCAAGTGACTTAGCAATTTCACTCCAAGGTACAGACCCAAGAGAATAGAAAATACCCATCCACAGAAAAACTTGTATGTGAAGGTTCACAGCAGCTCTATCCATAATAGTGAAAAAGTGGAAACAACCCAAATGTCCATCAACAGATGATGGGTAAACAAGATGGTCAGTCCACACAATGGAATATTGCTTGGCCATGAAAAGGAATGAAGTACTGACACAGGCTGCATTGTGGATGAAGCTTGAGAACATGCCGAGTGAGACAGTCCAGACACACGAGGTCATAATGTTGATTCCATGGATAGGAAGTATCCAGAATTAGCAAATTCATAGGCACAGAAAGTAGGTTAGTGGTTGCCAGGGACTGGGGAGGGACAATGGGGAGTGACTTAGTGGGTATGACGTTTCTTTTTGGGGTAATTAAAATGTTCTGGAACTTGGTAGTAGTAGTGGCTGCACAGCATTGTGACTACTAAATGCCACTGAATTTTACACTTTAAATTAATTTTGTAATATGTAAAATTTTTTTAAAAAATGGGGGAGCTGGACTACAGTCATCTTTGAGGGCCTGGGAGGCATGTGCAGTTTCTTGTTCCCCCAAAATATAAGAGAAGGATTATTTAGAAATTCACAAGAGGTAGAACTGGGCTTTAGGGAACAAGCTACAGAAGCAAAAGAAGGGTGCTTGGAGCTTAGGAAAAAGAGAGGAAAGGAAAAGGCGCCTGGAAGGAAGAAGAGGGGGAGGAAAGGGGAAAGGCAACGGCGGGCTCCCCAAAGGAAAGCGCCAGGACTTTATTCTATTAAAAGCCTACTCTTATCCTGAGCAAAGTTCACCGGCTTCCCTAATTCCCTAAAAGCACCAGGAGTGGGTGGGGGCGCTGGAGAGACTCCTTTCCTCTCACACTACACCCCACCGGCACAACCCAGCGGTCAATGCGCGCTCGTTTTACATAGCCACGCCCGCTCACCCGGGCAGCCGAGGACCCCACCCCCCACGTGTTTGAGCTTGCCCCGCCTACTCCACACCCTCACTGCGGCTCTCAACAGAAGCCAAAGCCTGAAGGGTTGGAGAGACCTTATGAATAATACATCACGTCAGTGACCGGTGGGCGGGACTTCGACGGGCTTGGCTGAGTCAAGATTATGAATAATACAAATATGAGCGGGGCCCGGAGAGGTGTGCCTGCAGAGGCGGAGCCCCGGAGCGGAAGTGACCGCCTAACTGGGTCTTTTAAGCTTAATAAATATGCAGGATATAGGGGCGTGGAAATGGGAGTCGTCACTTCTCAGGGGGCGTGGCCAGCCTCGTCTTCTGAATAATGCAGCACGTCGGCGGCCGTGCGGCGTCGACAGTAGGCTTCGCAGGATCCAGAGAGGGCGGGGACAGCGCGTCATGAATAATGCAGTACGTCAGCGGGCGGCGGGGCGGGGCGGGGTGGGGCGGGGCTGGGCTGGCGCGCCGGCCCTGGAGTCAGGAGGGGGGGCCGGGTAGTTATGGTCGCAAGATGGCGGCGCTGAGGGAGAATCGGAGCTACGGGCTGTCGTGCGGGCGGGTGAGCGACGGTAGCAAGGTGTCCGTGTTTCACGTGAAGCTCACCGACAGTGCCCTGAGGGCCTTCGAAAACTACCGTGCCAGCCAGGTGAGTGACGCGGGCCCAGTGCGGCCGTCGGGGACGTCGGGGCGCGGGCCGGCCTCGCGCGCCTCCCGCCCGGCTTCTGGGCCTGGGGGCGCGGGGTCCGACGTTCGGGGTGCTGTTTGTAGGTTCCTTGGTCGGCAGAGCGCAAAGAATCATGTTTCTTCTCGGCCTTGAGAGGCGACACTGGTGGGCGGTTTGGGCCGGCCGAGGGGCCCGAACTCGCGCACCTGGTCCGGGGGGCGTTTGTGTGGCACCTGGAGGCGTCCGGGGCCTTTCCTTGTCCACCGGGAACTGATCTGTTCACCTAGCCTGGGGAGCGGAGTTAGGGTGGGGCTTTTCCGTCAGGGTCCCTGGCAGGGTGGGTCAGTGGGGCACCGCTGTCGGGTTGCTTGTGGGGTCCTGTTACGTTTGTGTGCGGGGGCCGTCTTTGACTCTTTCCAGTGTGGCCTCTGGAGTTGGACTCACTCCTGGTTATTGGGAAGGAGAGTTTGGGTAAAAATTGACAGCTTGTGTGTAACTCCTCTCACTGTCCCCCCAGGTGACCTTGTTTCGCTGGACACCTTCAGGGAGTGGGAGAGTTTTGTGGGGAAGAAGCTGTGTGTTCAGGGGGTCGCTGACTTGGTGCTTTTCTCAGGTTGGGACCAGTGGTGGGCACTTGGGAAGCTCTGGCCACAACACCTGGCCGCTGACTTTCAACTTCTCAGGGGCCTATTTGGGCCCATCTGGGGAAGTTCAAGACGTTTCATTTCTGCCACCTGGCTTGGCGCAGGCGATGGGGAAGAGGCTGCTGTGCACCTTCTTTTAGGCCTGACTTTGGGGCACATCTGGGGCTGTGGTCAGACCTGCTTCTTCCCATTTCTGTTTGTATCATGGCGCCCTCAGTCTCTGTTGGGACAGAAGTCGCAGGTGCCGGGTGATCAGGTCCTGACGGGAAGTGGTTTGGGAGCTCTTTTCTGCCTTGTCTGGAAAGTGGGGGCTTCATAGAGAGGTGGCTGAGGAGGCCTCCCTCAGTGTGTGTGTTCTTGTGCGCGAGTGTTTGTGTTTACCAAGGATGAGGGGGCCTTGGGGCGGGTTAGGAGAGAGACTAACTAGGAAGGAATGTGGCTTTCTTCCTGCCTCGGACTTGTTCAGCACCATTAGCTAAGCTGGGAATTTCTTCCCCTGTTTCATTACCACCACTTCCTGGGTGCCCACCCTTCCCGTGATTCCCACCTTTTTGGGCAATTTCCTTTTTGTCCTGGTGTCTCAGTTTCCTCTTTATAGAAGGGAGACCTAATCTTTTTTTGTGAGTTCTCATCTGTCAGAAGGATTCCCCAAGGTGAGGCTGAGACACTCCCTGCATGGGAGGAGGAGAGGAAGGTAGGGGCACAGCGGTTGTCTTGAGCCTCCCTTCCCTTAGGAATTCCCTTCCTGAGTCTGACTTGTCCTGCAGGAAGGTGGACTTTCCTAGAGGCAGCTGGGGGAGAGCTCATGAGTCATGTAAATAAGGTGAACTTGGTACCTGGTCACTTTGGGTTAGGAGCCCCGCCTTCCCTGCCATGCTGCCCTCACTTGATCCATTGGTCCGGAAGGCCTGCCTGTGCATCCACCTCATGCTGTCACACTGCTATTTTTAATTTAGGGTGTCAGTTACATCCCCTAACTAAGCTAGGTCTTCCTCATGTGAGGGTGAAGGTAACTGCAGACTCAGGCTTGTCCCACATGGAGCCCAACAGTGTAGGTTAGAGTCAGTCACTAGGAGGGGCTCCCTCAAAGAACTTCAAGCCATCTTGGTCAACATGGCTGTCTGGGCTAAAATTTGGGGGACCCAAACTGTGTTTTCTTCAAAAACTGTCTGGTGATATGAGTCCCTTGGCAATTTTTTGTATTTAATCATACCCTTTGGGCATTGTGGTAGGCTGGTCTAAAATGAGGGCAGCTTGGGTGCTCTTTGTATTTTGGGTGCTGGGTATGGGGCAGGTGACTTGAAGAACTTGTTTGTGTGACCAGAACAGTATATTGGTTATCAACAAAACCTCAGATGCACAGCTTCGTCAATAGTGTAGAGTTTTCTCTTCTCTCATGCTGTGGTTACGTGGTTTGCCAATGGCAACTTGTGGAGAGGGTTTTTATTTTTACTTTTTAATTGTGAAGAGGCTTGTACAAATTCAGAAGTGGCAGGGGACTGAAGAGGAACTTCCTGTAATCCTAGCTGTAGGACCAGCTCTGGTAGAAGTCCCCAAGATTTCTCTCTCCAGAGGGATCTGAAGTCTGAGCTGCCTTTGTGCAGACCTTGTGGCCCGCCTGGAATGTGGTGGAAGGTGAAGATGTGGTAATACACACAGCTGCCAGCCATCCAGACTTGGGCTTTGTGCAGTCTCTCCTTGAATATAAAAATCAAGAGAGTCCTGAAGGAGCCCTTCCTGTGGATCTTCTTTTTTGCTGTGATGGGTTACTTCTGAGAGAGAAGACAGAGGAAGTGTGGACACAACCCATTCTTCCAAGATAGCCTCACATGCCTGCTAAGAGAAGCGTCCCCCGACCACTTTGAGGAAGTGACCCTCTCTGGGGCACCTGCCTTGACCATCTGGGCGTTTTATCGTTGGATTTGGTGGGCTCTGTTGCTAGGTGACCTTTTCCTCTCCTGGGTGGAGAGAAACATGTTGTTGTTAAGGAAAAATTGAGGGCCCGAGGAGAGGCCTAAGAAGGCTGGATATTGGAGCCTATTTAGGATTGACATCTCACCTCTACCTGCGTGAAGTCTTGGACTGGTGCCTGATCCTTGCCAGTCCAGATCCTTTTTCTCAAAGCTCTGAGAATCCCAGCGTCTGGCCATCTCTGAGCCCTGGCTCCTCCTCTTGGGGCTGTGAGGATCCCCGTGCTTGGCCCTCTCTGAGCTCCATATCCCCCTGCTCTTGGGGCTGTGGGGATCCTTTTGGCACGTGTGTGCCGTCAGTACAACCCTGACTCCTCGTGTGCACTTGGTGCTTCTGCCCAGAGCCAGTCCCTGCCTGAAGGTTAGAGTGGAGCCCTGGAGACAGGGGCCTGGACTCTTGCATCTACCTGAATTTGACTGAGTGCCTGGTCTGTGCAGGGCCCTGCTGAAGAGATGGACCTTCACAAATAACTAAGGCAGGCTCCTAGTGTCATGAGCTGACATTGTAGAGGCAAGAGACAGATAGTGAACAGGGCAGCACAGAAATCAACTTGTCAGTGGTCATCGTTAGGGAGCAAATAAAATGGGGCAACATGATGGCATGGGGTAGGTGACATAAAAGGAGTGAGAAAGGTGCTTTTAAGAGACGCCAGAGCTGAGGTCTGCTGGTAAGGGGCCCAGGAAAGCTGGGTGCACAGGCCTTGAGACATGAGGGGCTGGGGAGGCTGCTGGGGCAGGGGAGTGGTCCGGTAAGCTGTGGAGGATGGCTGCAGGGCTGTGTCCTCAGGAAGGGTGTGTGTGGAGGGCAGGTACAGGAGGCCTGCAGTGAACACTCCACCAGTGTTCTGGAGCTGTACTCGATGCTGCTTGCCTGCTGTTCAGGGGGCGTCTGTGTGGTTGTCAGCCTGGGCACCAGTGGCAGGAGGAGCCTTAATTTAGCTTCTCTTCCCCTCACACAGCAAGGCCCTGGAAGGCGGGCTCATCTCCCCTTCCTGGGGGAGCGCCCCACTTAGCCCTAAGCAGGGCAGCTTCTTGTCAGCCTTGTCTGCTTTACAGATGGGCCACCTTTAGGACTAGGTGGCGCTCCTCCAGCTGGTTGTGGGCTAGGCTCTTGTAAATCCTTCTTTTTTAATAAAGATTTTATTTATTTTCAGAGAGAGGGGAAGGAAGGAAGAAGGAGAGGGAGAGAAACATCCATACGCAAGAGAAACATCAGTTGGTTGCCTCTCACATGCCCCTAACTGGGGACCTGGCCTGCAACCCAGGCATGTGCCCTGACAGCGAATTGAACTGGTGACCTTTTAGTTAGCAGGCCAGTGCTCAGTGTACTAAGCCATGTCAGCTGGGGCAACCCTTCATTTTTGACAACATAGTCAGGAGGGCCAGTCTATTGCTCCTACTGTGCTTTGGGGACAGTTGAGTCTCTGAGGAGCAGTGTTGCCTGCCTGAGGTCAGTTAGACTGTCCTCACTGGCCAGGCTGCCTCTCAAGTTGGGAGCCTGGGCTACTACTGGGACACAGCTATGAAAGGGAGTCACATCGTGGTCTCAAGTTTTAGTTAAAATGCCAGTGTTCCACACTCATGTGAGTGGCCCTGCAAATGCCTGAAGTTGTTATGTCTGTGCTGTGCCCCCTCCCCCAAGAAAGCCTAAAGATGACAGTAAGCACCAGTTGTGGATTGAGGCCCATATGCCAGCACTGGCCCGAGCTGCACACTTTACTTCCTCTGGTCCCCTGTCAGCCCTGTGGCGGAGTTGTGAGGAAATGGGTGGAGACTTGGAGATAAAGTCCATGGAAGGAATCTCTCAAGTGGGCTGGGCTACGAATCAGGTGAATACTCTCCCTGAAGGGCTGTGGTGGGCCCTGTGGGCAGAGAGGAGCAGGCTGGCCCATGAGTGTCAGAAGTGTGCCTGGAGGCATAGGGGTTCAGTTTGCTTGTGTGTTTCAAGGTGGACACTTGATGGTTTGGAGTGGAGTGAGTCGCTCCCAGAATGCCCATGTCTCATAGATGCTGGAGAGGGTGAGCATCCTCTGCGTGGGGCGAATGCCAGTGGTTTCTGCCGGAGGCTGCAAGGGCTATGTGAGGGGCCGAGCCTGCCTGCCATCACAACCCTTGACTAGACCTTTGGCTGCATGCCCATCTCCAGGGTGACTGTATGTAAACAGCAGGCTGCTCTCTGAAACCCATCCTGTGGGCTCCTCTGCAAGGCCAGAGTTTATCACCCTTGAGGCAGTTTTTGACATCACACCAGAATTGTGACATTGCTGGTGAATCCTTGAAAAACAAGGCCACTTTTCTCCGTTTTTCGTGGCTCTGGGCTGGAGCAGACCCTGTTTTGGGAATCCACTTCTCCGTGGCAGGAGTCCCG